CGGGAGGGAGGTCGGGGGGGGAAGGCAACAAAACCCAACCGCTTATCGTGAAAAATGCGCGAGAGATTAAAGCGGATCCAGGGTATTTCTGCAAGCGGAGGGAAAGATTTTTCTGGTCTCTGTCTCCCCCCCCCCCACCCCCCCGGCCAGTGATTACAGACAATGTCTGCTCAGAAAAATCCGAGCACAAAAATGGGTAAAAGATGTTGGGCTCTTACGGGGAAATTTTCCAAATAGCCCTTTTTAAACGCGGGTCCCGGAGGTTAAGCAAACAAAGACAGTCTGGGCTGGACCACACCGAAGAGGATTTTAGCCTGACTTAACCCCTGTGAGAGCGGGGTCTTGTTCAATTTTATGGGAATTTCAACAAGTAACAAATACAGGCGACCCTCAGCCCTGGGTCCCCTCCCGCCCCCCTCCTTGGGCGCCTGTCAATCACTCTCCTGTCCTTCTGCGAGCCCCGCAGCCTGCCCCGGCCTCGCCACAGCCTGCTGCCGCCGAGGGGAGGGCGGGCTGGGAGCCCAGCCGCCGGGGAAGCCGCTTTGCCATCACCGCAGGAGGGACTAGGGGTGTCAGGGGAGAGCAAGCGGTTGCAAATTTTCCTCCCTTAAAACAAAACAAAACAAAGCAAAAAGCCCCGGTGTGGCTCCTGGGGAGAGCGGCGGCGGAGCGGGTGGGCGTCTTACCGGGGTTTCGGCGCAGCGAGGGCTGCGGGGAGGCGGTGCGACCCCAGCCGGGCTCCTCCGTGCCCACGGGGCTCTGCTGCCGGGGCTGCAGCCCGCTTTTCGGAGATTCAGGTGGTCCTCCCACGTGGTTTGGGGGCCGGGGCCAGAGGCCGGCGGGTTCACGAGGGCATCCCGCGCCGAAATACGGACCTTTCCCGTTAGGAATTTCTGCTTTGCTTTGTTGCTGTTGTTACTTGGAATTTTTGTTTTTTTCTTTTCTTTCCTTTCCTTTCCTTCTCCTTTCTTTTGGATGTTTTTTTTCTCTGTTTGTTTTACTCCTTGCGGCCCCGCGGGCAGCCGCGCAGGGCCCACGGGGCCACGCGTGGCGCGGGAGTGGGGCTGGCCCGGGGAGCGGGGCTGGGAGGCGGCTGCCCCCTCCTCCTGACAGACACCCGGGGTGGGAAAGGCGATTCCTGGAAGAGAAATTTGCTTTTCGAAGCAGGCCGAGAGCAGCTCTTGAAAACAGAAAGCAGAAGGAGAGAGAGGAAGGGAACTGGTCTCCCGAAGCCTCCACTACGGTTTCCGAGGCTGGGGCGTTTAAATCCGAATTGTTTCTGTTCGAGGACGGGTCTACACGCAGACGGACCGATGGGCGCTTTCTTAAAGCCGACGACGAGCGTCCGTTTCCAGCAGCCCAGATTTAATGCCGCCACTCTGCAAAACGGCGTTTCTCCGCTTATTTTCTACAGCTTCGGGATCTGGGCCCGGGACTTCAGCGGAAGCCATCCCCATTCCTTGATTAGCTAAAAAAAACCAAAAACCAAAACCCAAAAACAAAACCCAAAAAACCAAACCAAAACAACAACCAAAAAACGCAACCCTTTATTTTTTTTTGCGTGGATTCAGTCCTCATTCGTGTGTGTTACATAAAATCTCTGCAGCGCAAACGCTTTAGCAGAGTGAAAGGAGATAGGGAAAAAAGCTCCGAGCTCCTTCATTCGTAATTATTACCAGCAATAATCCTTCTCCTCTCCCCACCAAAGCAGCAGCAAGTGAATTTCGCCTTTCCCTTTCTCTTAGTTAAATGCAAAGCAAATTCGGTGGCAACCGCTGCTGATCGGTCAGTAATCCTCTACTCATGATAGCGACAGGGCAGACTTAAAACCTTGAATTTGCATCAGACCCAAGAATAAGAGAGGAAAAAATTGGAAACAGGAGGCTCGGCGCTGCTAAAAGGATTTTGAAACTGGGGGGCGGGGGGGAGCCGGATTTTTTTCGCACACTATTAAATCCTGCTAAATGATTGAATCAGGATTGTAATAAAGTGCCCCGGTTTATGGTGAGCATACCATCAGGGTTATTAGAAAGCCGAGGAAATCCAGCGAAATAATCACTTTTATAAAGTGAGCTCTGCGGGGTGAAGGAGGGGACAGCGCCGGAGGAGCCGGGCTGTGCGCGCCGCCGTCCGCCCCAGCCAAAAGGGTCGGCTCCGCCACCCGGGGGAAAACCAGGGACGTGTCCCCCCCCTCCTTCTCTTTCTTTTGCTGCTTTTTTTTCTTTTTTTTTTCTTCCCCCCCTCCCCTTTTCTTTTTCTCTCTCTTTTTTTTTTTTTTTTCCCCCTTGACCCTCGGTCAGATTTGACAGGATCCCGCTAGCCGAGTTTGACATCCACACGCCAAATCAAATCCCCTCTCTGGCTCTACCCTGCAGGCCTTGCTCAGGCAACGCTCCCCTTCCCCGCCGGATCCAGTAGGAACCCTGCCAGGGCTGAAGATCCCAGCACGGCCCTGCGGCGCGGGCTGGGGGGGGGATCTCCCACGCGGCCCTTGGACTTTGTCCCCCCGAAAGGCTGCCTTAGGCTGTGGGAAATGAAAATGGGAATTTGCAAGGTCATTTACATGTCGGTGCCGCGGATGTACTTTGCTTGTTGTTGTTGATGAACCGTGGGGTGTCCTCGGTCTGTATCTGACGTTTATGAAAGCACACACGCGCATAGGCGTGCACGCTCGTATACGCGCACACACAGACCTAAATACGCCATCAACGCAGGAACGGGTCGTGGTTGGAGGTCAACCTGCAGCCGTTCAAGTCAAAAGCAAAAACCTCCCAGGGACGGGATGGGGAGGGGGAAGAGGGAGCAAAGATGGGAATCAGATTCCAATAGCTGCGGCGCATCCAGAGAAACACGCAAGTCGCATCCTCTCCTCGCACACGGGCACTCCCTCGCCTACACCACACGCGGAGGCTGACCCAGCCCCACAGGCTGAGAAATGCTCTAGGCGGGGGGGCAGAGAGCGGTGCCTGTGCGCCCACGCGGGAGGGGTGCCCGGAGACTTGCGTGGGCACCCACCTCCCTCGGCCCGTGTGCCACCCGGCTGGGCGGTGCACGGCCTCCCCGCGGAGCGGCCACGGGGGCTCCTACGAGGACGGGTGCAGCCCCGAGCCCACCCGGGGGCGACGGGGGACTCTGGGGATCCACGTCCCCTCCTCGCTCGGGGCGATGGGACCCGCCGCTCTTTCTGCCCTGCAGGCGGGACGGGCTTTGCCCCGGGGGGAGCGCCCAGTCCGCTGCCAGGAAAGCCAGAGAGGGGCTCCCAGACCTTGCAGGAGGGAGCCGAGGGCAGGGGGAACGAAGCAGCGTGCCGGCCCTGCTGTCTGGAGCCTCTCCTCCCTGCGGGTGAGGGAGAGAGAAAGGGCTGCTCCGCCCGAGCAGAGCTACCCGGCTTCTGAGCAGCTCTTGTTGTTTCCTTCTCTTGCAGTGGGATTGCCTCGCTACCAGCATCACCCCTCCCCGGTGTGTGACAGGAAAGATTTTGTCCTCAATTTTAATGGCATTTCTTCGTTTCACCCTTCCGCTAGTGGATCTTACTACCACCATCACCACCATCAAAGCGTCTGTCAAGACATCAAGCCCTGCGTGATGTGAAGGCAGCGCCCCAACAGAGACAATCAGGTGGCACTGAACAGAGCCGAGGTATAGACGGACCCACGCAGATTAAATATAATGTGCACTCTGATAGCATTGATAGTACACGAGTCACTTAGCAAAATTACCTAAGGAAGGAGTGTTTTCGGTCCCCCTCCATCCCTTGAAGGACGCGGACAGCCGATAGAACGCTCCAAAGCTCTTCCTAAAAGAGAAATGCCTTGAGTGATGTGTTGGGTTAGGTGGGACTTCAGTGTCCTTATGCCAAGTCTGACCAGCTTAATCGTAAACCGCCTTTCTGTGATCTCCTAAAGAATCGAGCTTTGGGAAAGGGAAGGATCCGATATATTTTTATACGAGAAAGTGTCTTTGAATAGGAAGAATAAACCTCCCAGCTCAGCACCTGCGAGGACTCCCTCTTCCGTTGCTGCGTTAGCGGGAAATTTGCTTCTTTTTTTTCTCTCCCCGAGCCCCACCAAGGACACTTTGTATGGACTTCAGCACCAACCCATCGATATTATGAAAACAGTATTGTTTAGCCCTTTCGTGTATAGATTTTAAGAAAAGTTCAATTTTTTTTTTCAGTATTGCAGCAATACAACGTTTTGTTTTTTATTTTTACAAAAGTTGTTTTCTACCACAATATTTTAAAAAAAATATTTTAAATAAATCTCGTGTATACTCACACACTATTGCTTTAAAAGGAGAATATATTTGCACTTACGTATACTTTTTACAGTTTGCCAAAATATTTTGATGTACAAATTTTTTTTTTCCAATAAAATGTATATAAACGACTATGCAGTGGACAGACGCTTATTTTCCCTCGGCTCCTTCTGAGAAAACTCTTCCACCCCAGCATCCGAGATCGTTAAAGCTGCCACCCCAAATCCTCCAGCCGCTGGAGGCGGAGGAGGGGAGCGAGCGGCTGACCCGAGGGGGCCAGTGCCGTGGTCCCTGGGCTGCACCTCCCGCCCTCGCTCCCTTCCCACCCCGCTCGCCCCGGCTGCGGGACAGACTTTGGGAGAACCGGGGCAGTGGACACAGAGGCAGCAGGATCCAGACTGCCTGCTCCTCTCTTCGAGGGGTCCCCCGGGCCTGAAACGCCCTCCCCGCTGTTTAGGGCCGTGTCCAGGTGTCCCCGTGTCCCCGTCCCGCCTGTCCACGCAGCTCCCGTCGGTGTCCCTCTGTGCCCCGACGGGGCAGGAGCCCCTGTGCAAGGCCGGCTTGCACCCGGGAGGGCGTGTCACGGGTGGGCGGCGAGAGGGGTCCGCGGTAAGGCCGTGGCTTGATAAGGACTGGGGGGAGGCACCGAGAACGGCGTGGGAGGGAGGGGAGAAAAAAGAAAAAAAAGAAAGAAAAGAAAACAAAAAAGGGCCCCCGAGGTGCCCCAAGCAAAACAAGCCCTGTCCCCAGGGTGCCGCCGTGCCCTGCGGATGGTGAGCGGCCGCGGGTCGGAGCCGGGCGCCGGGCGCTGCCTGCCCGCG